ATGGGGGGGGGGAAAACTAGCAAGTCAAGTTTACTGTGCAACATAATAGCTGTTTCCCCTGACAGGATTCGTTCGCTGCAAGTTATGCAATTATAAAAGAAAAAAAACTCATGAAATATTTTACAATGTATAGTGAATCTATATGCAATTTCAATTTTTCAATTGAACCGCTTATATGCTGTCCATAAATTTTAACAATGCATACAGATGCCCGCACTACAGTATCTCTTGCTTTTGGATATCGATTTTCTATCACACACACACACACACACACACACACACACACACACACACACACATAAATTTAGCAGATAAAACTTTGACTCCTAATAGCGCCCACCTTTCAAGACTAACCTAACAAGTGAATTTGTCTCACTAATGTAAATGTATTGAACATTTAGTTCAGTATATGGCAGTGTGGCTTATGTTTACAGACGTCCCGATAAGATTAGGTTTCCATTAGGTCCGATGGTATACTCATGTTTTTTGAGTCTTTGCCAAACTGTTCCTGTTTATCAACACAGCTGATCTTCATGATTCACAAGAATGCACTTTAATTAATCCACTCTCACATGAAGGTTGATCGCCTACGCTGACCACATTCTGGCATGAGTGCAGTCAATCAGAATGAAACAAGACACCTTCGAGAAACACAAAAACCACACATTTCCCCAACTGTCAGTTCACTTTGTTTGAAATGAACGGAAAGAAAAGAAGTGTCACACACCCACTCCCAAATGGTGATATTTTTTTTTAAAATGCATATTTTCCCATTAAACTAAATTGTACCACTTTAGGGGTTAATAAAAATCTGTCCTTTTTGGCACAATTTATCCTCCTTAAAAGCGCTGTCTCAGTAATATGGACCCTTTTCAGCAGAGCGCATCTTCAGATTCCATTAGGGTTGAATGACTTCAAATTGAATCAGCACTGGTTAATTCCATTTGTATAGTTTTAGTCCGTAAATTGTCTGCAGCAAGGGGGAAGTCCTGGCTGTCTCTGGGTAATTTCCACACTACCACTCTGGCAGTGTGTGGGTTATGCTCATCAAAACATTTTCACGCCAACCATGTTGAGGTCATATGTCAATCAACACTGATCCAAGATCTTTGAACACTTAAACAAAAAGCCATTGTCAAATTTTCCATCCGCCAATTTTCTACACTGCTTTTGTGGCCAGCTGCATTGTTTTATGTGGCCCGCTAAAGCAAATGAATTTTGTGTACTTCATGCCTCTTGCTACACGGTTTTGTTTTGTTTTTTTTTTGTTTGTTTTTTTAATGTGGCGGAAACCCTGTACCAAGATTCAACATTTTCTTCAATTTTTTTACTGTTATTACACACACGAGCATGTAAACAGAATGGAATAAAAATGAAAATGCTGAAAAAAAATAGAGAATAATAATAAAACTCACTGAAACTGCATCATAAGTTTATAAAACTAACTACAATAGCTGTGAAAATGTCCTCTGTTTTTTATCAATTGATTTCATACATGAGCTCTTGGGTTCTTTTTCAATGTATTTATTTTGGTCTTGCGGTGCATCCACAGCTACGGAAGAAAGAAGGTCAAGAGGTCAAACTGTTTGCTCCACAAAAATAATTAAAACTATCCGAAAAAAAAAGTCAAAAGTAAATAAATGGTAAATATAATGAACAATCTAAAATGATTGTTACCATGGAACAGAACATGAAAATTCCACGCCAGACTTGACCACCGTGCTTGCAAATATAAATATAAAAATCAAATGAACTAAGAAACTGCCAACTGTAGTGCGAAGATCAGTACTTGTTGAACTTTTACCATAAGCCTAACACAAATACCGCAAAGTGATATGTTCTAGTTGAGCAAAGGATTTTGCTAGTGTTCGGAATTTCAGACAGTCATCGGTTAACCCAAAATATGGAATGCCATGAACTAAGAAAGTTCAAAAGCAAATTCAAGGTTCTCAATGACCAGCAGCTGGAGGTTTCCATGGGGATGCAAAATGTCGAACGGGACAATAGGACAGTGGCGCAATTTTTATGACTACTTAAAAAGAATTCTTTTATTTGATTTCTAACTCTTTGCAAGCACTGCTTTCAATCCTCTGACCAATGTTAATTGGTTTCCCCGCTTTTATGACTCCCCATGAAATGATATGTTGTTGTTTTTATAATAAAATAAAAACGCGAACAATACTTATCTTTTATGCTTCAGCCCGTGATTAAAAGCTGATGTCTTTTATGTCGTAACAAACCCCGCACGCTGTCCCGGGGCAATGACTAGGATCCTCAATTCCCGGCTGCCACTTGCTTAGATTTTGTTCTACGGTAAACAACACTGGCCTTCCAGTAAAATTCATACGAGGGGGTCCAAAAGTTGTTGACTTCCTGGTTCGAAGTCCATCGAGACACACTTTCCCTCTCTCCTTGGGATTTACTGCACTGGCTTCTGTTCGATCTGTCTTTTAAATATGCCATTTAGGCCGAGCCATTAGATTTGTTAAGTCCGTTTCCTGTTGGTGAAAGTGGACACTTTACCTCTTAACCGCATCCTTTTAGTGTCTGTGTGTAAAGTTTACCATCTGCCATTGTAAGACAGGAATGGGAACTTGTCAAGACCCACTTTAGATGCAAATACGTCGTGTGCGTTTTGAGAATGTGTCTCGACATGTGTGTAAATACTGATCCAGCCTCTCATCCACAACCCGGGAAAATCCACATGGTAATACGAACATTTTTCAACCCACACATCACACCAATATCCTCGTTGTACTGCAAGACTTGAATGTTCATGCGGCGTCTGCAGTTTAGGAAGCAACCTGATCCTGATTAAGCAAACATTGGCACTGTCCTGTTCTAATTGTGTTTTTGGCCAATTACGCAAACAGAGACTGCAACGGGAAATGAGGCAAAATGCGATTAGTTCCAATCATTTCTATTCATATGTTTTATTTGGTTGTTTTTTTTTTCCCTTTTTTCCTGACGAGTTCTCTCTCACCCTGCGCTTGTATTTTCTTGTCGTAAAAAGCAAACAATAAAGGGAGCTCGTGAATGGACAAGCTTCATAGGAATGCAATCTTTTGCTTTACATTCTAAATAAATGTCAAGTGTTGAATTTACACCCTATAATTTCTTTTTATGATGAATTAAAACACGGTACCTTCAGATACGAGTAACCAGTTATTCATGAGTCGTAAACTGGAGGAATTTTTTTTCGCTTTCATTTGCAACCAAAATGATTGAAATTTCCAAAGCCAATTAAACAGTGATTATTGAAAACAACTGTACAATTTTGCATTGAAGTATTGTCTCTTTGTGCTAATACATGAAGTAAAATGCCATAGGCAGACTAACAAATATCTATTTCGCGGCATTACAACACTTGGTCGTGGATATTTGAACACAAATGTGGAGCAACAAATGTAGACAGACAATACAACACTGCATGCATATATTATTAATTCACTATGAAAAACGACTGACTGCAGTTTACTGAGCCACTTAGAGTAGTTGTCAAGTCTCTTCTTTTGCCTTGTCTTATACTGTCCCCTGTGGCCAAGTCTCACACACCATCTGGAGTTGAAATTAAGTGATCATGATGCACGAGCTGTTTACTTCTTTACATTCTATTTAATTATGTAATTACCAAGTAGTGCGGCATTATCAAGTGTTATTTTCCTTATCCCAAAAAAAAAAACAAAAACTTGTGGCCACCATTTATAGTACAGTACTGACAGCAAACCGAACCAATCAACGGCAAATAAAATGGCGTGATGTAGTAAATTAAGGTTCTGGATATGAGTGCACTCTATTTCTGGAAACCCTGACTCTGGATGGTATGACAAACAATGAGTTACAGAGAGGTTTTCCAGCATGCATGCGCATGTGGGCTGGTTTCAGTCAAACTTTCAAGGATGATTGATATTTTTTGGGGGTTTTTTGTGTGTGTACCAATCTAGCCCTGGTTGCAGGGTAACCACACAAGCTAATTGCTAGCGAGTTAGCTTCCAGAAACAAAGAAGTTTAGATGCTTCCTTGTCATGGTAAGCTAGAACAGCGAATCTTAAACTGAATTTTCCTTGGGGGTTATTTGCAATAAATTCTCTCTTAGCATTGAAAAAAGTTGACCCCTCACTCTTTCCTATTGTAGTTTCAGGCCAATTAAAAGCTCTGATATGATTGCGATGTGTCATCACATGAATCTGATATCAGTGCACGAATACATATGAATATATACAGGTATATATACATATCCATGTATTTTAAACATAAGGGAAGGCAAAGCAGCTTTATTTGTATCGTGCATACATGAGGTAACTCAATGTGCTTCACATAATCGGATATTTGGTTACAAACAAAAGAATAAGACATTTAACCTCAAAGTAAAAAAAAAGAATAGTAGCTTACTAAAATTGCAAAAAAATAATGGACAGCGCAAAATCAAGATTTTGGAAAATTTGAATTTAAAAGTGCTTTTAAAGACCTTAATAATCGGTATGGGGTAGGAGGGAGCAGTTTTTAATCTGGATTTAAAAGCATTTACACTTTATTGTTGTAAGATGTCAACTTTTTATCCTGCCAAAATATGTCTTTGTTCTTCAAGTCCTTTTCATTTTTTTTTCCTTTGGAGGATAGCCAGTTTCATTCCAATGGCATTTAGGAATGCACATGGTAGTGATGATTGAGGATTTTGAAGGGCGCTTTGGAAACATTTCCCTCCTGCCTTATAAAATCAGAAAAATTTAGCCAAGGCAATCCGATGAAATCAAACTATTTTTACACTTGCATTTCACACGCTTCTCTTCCTGTTCATGGTTGTGATCTGTTTTATTTCTCCTTTGGTGCAACAGTGTTGCAAATAGTAGGTGTGGTGTTCTGAGAGCAGGCGGGGCGAGAGAGCATGTAAGTGAGGGAGGGGGTGAGAGAGAGAGAGAGCGAGCAGTCGGCTTTCAACGGTGGTGTTGCTGAGCGCTGCTTTCAAAACTTCAACCTTCCTTTCAACGTGGCTCGCATGTGCAACGGTGGTGTTGCTGAGCGCTGCTTTCAAACTTCAACCTTCCTTTCAACGTGGCTCGCATGTGGACCACCGGAGAACATGATCATGGGGAGGTGAGTTTTCATTTTTCTCTTTTTTTCCCCCCTTGGATTCTAAGAGTTAGTTTCTGCATTATTAATAGGAACCGTGCCATTTCCTCTCTTGTCTTTCTAATATGGGTTTTACATTCAATACAGAGCAGAATGTCAAGTGCACAAAGAAATGTCCTTACAATAGGCTAACGTTCGCGCTGTCAGCTCCAAGCTTGGCATTCAAAAAGCCGAGTGTGTGTGTGTTGAAAAAAATAAAAACATAAAAAAAGGAACAACGGGCAGAATTATGACTGAACCTCGTGAACTCCATCTCGTAACAAGAGGCAAGAGTTAGATATTTTTATTGACATTCATGGTTCTGCATTTGCTCATGGTGTTTGTGCAATTTATATAATATGTCTTTTGTAGAAAAAAGTTGTAATTACAATACATAAAAAAATATACATGATATATATTAAAGTACAGAAAACAGTAATTGAGAGTATTGTAGTTTTGCGGATATGGATGGGCATTTGATTACACTTCCTTGTTCTACTGTGAGTAACATTTTTCATCAATTTCATTGATGATTGTTCTTGATGGAGGATTTGCTTTCAGAATGTGCTGAACTCCTTTTTCCATGCCCTGTTTTGAACAGCATAATGCTGACCTGAGCAGTTCTGCCATAGCAGTCAGTGGTCGACACGGATGTACTATAACTCGAGCGATGTACTTTAGAGCAGTCTTTGTCAGCCTTCATTGTGCCACGTTTAACATGAGAAAAATCTCACAAAACGTATGCCTACAGAAATAATGACGATCTTGTCTACTCACCAATTTACTCACTCAGTATGACATCCGGGCCTGTTTAGTTGTAGGCAAAGCTATTGTCGTTGTAGGAATGGCTGAGTATACCTTCCACCTATTTTAAGGCCATTTAATTGTTCTGTTTGTCACTATAGGTCGCTGACATGAATAGATGAACAAAGATAGGTCTCCTGCGGCTCCGCTACTCTGCGACGTATAGTGATCATTTTTATTGGTCTTGCAGATACAATAGCTACAATATTTGTTTCTCTGTGTCTAGATTAATTTACAATCTGTCCATTGTGTGTTGGTGCAGGGTAAAACTCTCAAATCCATATACAGTATGTATTATTATACGGGCTCTGTTCAGTATGTTGCAGAAAATTGGATAATTTCCCGCCGCTCATCTGTCACAGTTGCAATCAACGCCAAATTATTTAAGATTGAAGTGTGCAAGCGTTTGGACACTGTTCACTATAACTCGAGCGATGTACTTTAGAGCAGTCTTTGTCAGCCTTCATTGTGCCACGTTTAACATGAGAAAAATCTCACAAAACGTATGCCTACAGAAATAATGACGATCTTGTCTACTCACCAATGTACTCACTCAGTATGACATCCGGGCCTGTTTAGTTGTAGGCAAAGCTATTGTCGTTGTAGGAATGGCTGAGTATACCTTCCACCTATTTTAAGGCCATTTAATTGTTCTGTTTGTCACTATAGGTCGCTGACATAAATAGATGAACAAAGATAGGTCTCCTACTGCAGCTCCGCTACTCTGCGACATATAGTGATCATTTTTATTGGTCTTGCAGATACAATAGCTACAATATTTGTTTCTCTGTGTCTAGATTAATTTACAATCTGTCCAATGTGTGTTGGAGGATGGTAAAACTCTCAAATCCATATACAGTATGTATTATTATACGGGCTCTGTTCAGTATGTTGCAGAAAATTGGATAATTTCCCGCCGCTCATCTGTCACAGTTGCAATCAACGCCAAATTATTTAAGATTGAAGTGTGCAAGCGTTTGGACACTGTTCAGAGAAAGTTAGGAATTTTTCAGATGAAATTTCAGGATGGTTCGGCCCAATACATTTGCTGGATCAATTTGAAGTGGTATTTAAATGGTCTTCATCATGCCGCTTCTATTTTGAATCATGACATATGACATCTAACGATACCTTGCCACTGCAAGGTGTCAGACAGGAAGTTCTCAGGGGGGAAGTCGGCACTGAGGTTAGAGTGTCTCAGGGTGTCTTCGACTACAGAATTGACTGAAGGTCAAAGAAGTGGAGAGACACCGGTTTTGAATTCTGCCGTTCAGCTTCTTGTTAGAGAACAGAAGAAAGACATTGACCACTCGGACTTGCATTTAAAAATGTAGTCAAATTCAATTCACCTGTAAAGCGTAAAGCTTATAGTGCATTTGACGTCCATCTTGAAATTTCATCCGAAATCCGAACGTCGTCTTGTCTATGTGAGTAGTAAATATGTGTGATAAGGAAATGTTGTTGCTCCCGCCTCCAGACTGCTGTGGTGAGAACATTCTGACCACCCCTCCCTTCCAAATGAAACCAAGACTGCACTGTTGCCTCTTTGAACATCTGGGAGCCGTTTAGATTCTCCCCAGTGACTCATCCACGAACACAAGCATGGCATGTGATGGGCTGTGTCCCAACATCACATGCAGCGGGAGCCTCACGGTGGAGGGCGACAGCAAGCCGGCGACGAGCATCATCATGTTCATGGCCGGCGTGGGGGGAAACCTCCTGGCGCTCTTCATCTTGGGCGTACACCGCAAAGAACACCGCTCCACATCGTCCGTCTTCTCCATCCTGGTGACCGGGCTCGTCCTCACTGACCTGCTGGGCACCTGTCTCCTCAGCCCACCCGTCTTCATCTGCTACGCACGCAATGTGTCTCTCGTCGGACTGGGCGACGAGAGCCTGTGCCAGCTCTTCGGCTTTGCCATGAGCTTCTTCGGCCTGGCGCCCACCCTCATCCTGTGCACCATGGCCGTGGAGCGCTGCCTGGCTATCAGCCACCCATACTTTTACTCGGGGCACATCCGTCGAAGCTTCGCCAAGGTGGCGCTCGTCGTCATTTATCTCTTTTCCCTGGCCTTCTGCCTCCTGCCATTCGGCGGCATCGGCAAGTTTAGGCAGTACTGCCCGGGGACGTGGTGCTTCATCGACATGGACGCAACGGGGGACGCCAACGGCGAGAGGGTGCAGGCCTTCTCGTTGACGTACTCCTCTCTCATGGCGCTGATCATCCTGGCCGTGTTCGCGTGCAACGGCTCGGTGATCGTCAGCCTCTGCCAGATGCACCGCAGCCAGTTGATGCGGCGAGGCTCGGCCGGCTCCACGGGCAGGAAGAGGAAGCTGAGCCTGGCCTTGTTCGGATGGGGTGAAGAGGAGATGGATCACCTGGTGCTATTGGCACTCATCACGGTCATCTTCGCCATCTGCTCGCTGCCGCTCACAGTGAGTACATAATCTTTTTTCTGTGTGTGTGTGCGTGTGCGTGCACTTGTCAGTGCATGAATGTTATTGACCATATTCTCAACAAAGCAAGAGTTGGCTTAAATTTGTCAAAGTGAATTCAAGAAAGAGGTTTTAGATGAATGCACTGCTTTGTGTTAACACCAGTTGAAAACACAGAAAGTAGAAGTACAGGTTCAGCGGGAAAAAAATGTCCAAAAGACTTTGGTCCAACTCCTTTATTTAAGTCAAAGTAAAAAGGTACAGGGCGGCCCGGTGTTTGAGTGGTTAGCGCGTCGACCTCACAGTGCAGAGGTAGCCGGTTCGATTCCAGCTCCGGATTTCCTTTGTGGAGTTTGCATGTTCTCCCCGTGCCTGCGTGGGTTTTCTCCAGGTACTCCGGTTTCCTCCCACATTCCAAAAACATGCATGGCAGGTTGATGGAACACTCTAAATTGTCCCTAGGTGTGCGTGTGAGCGCAGATGGTTGTTCATCTCTGTGTGCCCTGCGATTGGCTGGCAACCGGTTCAGGGTGTCCCCCGCCTACTGCCCGAAGACAGCTGGGATAAGCTCCAGCACCCCCCTTGTGAGGATAAAGCGGATCAGGGAATGGATGGATGAATAAAAAGGTACAAACACTAAGTTGTAGTGACTTTGGTGGGTAGGCTACAATCAGTCACTCCTCATTTGTTTGGCACAGCTTTTACACCACCCACGCTAGGAAATCAAACCTGCGCAGCTTGAAATGTACTCGGGTAAATAGTACAGAATATGAATTTTACGGTCAATTACATACACTTCTTGAAAAAAAAGTGGCTGAAAAAAATTGACCTTACCTGTATATGCCTCGTCAAATGTAGTTGTACATTTTTTGTAAATGCCAGAAGTTGCTGGTGTTTCGACAAATGACTCATTCACCGGGAATCTTGCGTCTCTGCGTCTGTTGCATCATCGTCGTTAATGCTCCCGCATTCACGTTCCTCCATGTCACTGCTGTCCCGGTTTTTCCACCTTATAACCGTCTCCTTTGATAGCTGAAAAGGCTCCGTTTTCAGTGACATCAGCCAAGAGATGATGAGTAGTAGAAGAACACATTGTGCATGTCTTGAGAAGAATCTTTTCGGCGATGATTTTACCATAACCCTCTTCACCAACAGGGTACCTGCAATACACAAATACCATGAGATTACAACGCCGATAACCACACCTAGAACAAATCCGATTGACGGCTCATCAATAGCTTTTTCAAAAATTTTTTTTAACATTGTACTGTAAATGGACTTTGTGGCTGTACATTCGAAACAGCTGTCAGTTTGACACAAGTGTTATATCGAATAATACACATTGTTAAATAAATACAGTACGTACTTCAATACATTTTGTGTCTGCTGAGGGTAGAAAGTGAGAACTACTGCGGGACTTTACAATGGTTGCGCTTTTGCTCAGATAGACAGATTAGTTCCCTCTGCAACTCAAACAACCCAAGGCAAAGCAGTTGTGCCAAATTACTAATATTAACTCTTTCATGCACCCTGTAAGATGAGGGTGGAATTGAAAGGCCGTAAGGCATGCCAGGTTACCTCAGTCTGTCAGTAGAGCAGAGCAGTGACCTCAGCCTGTCAAATGCCGCTCCTCTGCCTGGAGGCGGTGCGGTGCAGTCGAAGCTCTGAATTGTCCATCATGGACAGCAGTCGCCATGGCATACAACTGCATCCACATGGGTACTCGCCAACATCGACTGGTAGTCGTCCGGGGAAATACAAGAAGCTCTGTCTTTTCTTGCAAAGGACGTCAGTGTTGGCAGTCCCAGTCCAGCCTTTCATCCAGATGCAAACCCAGGTAAATCTGTGCAATCTCCACACTGACAACAAACATTTATGACATCGGGTTCAGGGTGAGGTCTGGGCCTCGTGATTTCCACCACGATTTCCCTGGTCTTGGTGGTGTTTACATGTAGGTGGTTGGAGTTGCACAGTTTGACAAAGAAGGGCAAAAAGGTGTGCCTGAAGAATGTTGCCGCGTTCACCACGCTGGCACGTTATATATGTGTGTGTGTGTGTGTGTGTGTGTGTGTGTGTGTGTGTGTGTGTGTGTGTGTGTGTGTGTATCTATGTGGCGAGAGC